GGTCTGCAGCCCCAGCCACAGCGCCTGCCCCGTCCCCATCCCCAGCCTCGACTCTGCAAAGAGTCTCACAGGAGATCTGGGGACTTTATTTGCACATAAAGGGATAAATACCTGCTTCTTGTCTCAACTACAATTTGCTATTTCCATCATTTGCATCATACGACAAAATGTTTGTTTGTTCAAACAGACCCTTGTCTCAAACTCAACCTTGTACTGCTTATTTAAAATAACTATTGGTTAAAAAAACTAAGAGGTATTTTAATCTCTATATTTTTACTTTTATTTCTTTCAAATATAGTAAATTAAAATACTGATTCATTACTTGGAAACTTTGACTGTACTAAGATTGTTAAAGGAGCTCTTTGAGCAGACCTGCTACCCCCCGCCGCTCCCCTCAAAACAGCGGTGTCAGCTGTTATGAAGGTTTCTGAACAATTTATTACTTTTTTTCCACAAGCTTTGAACACCATAAAGCTTTACGAGCCTGTGTGCTTAAATGCCACAAAATCCCCCCTCGAAGTAGAGCTGCTCCCTGAAAACAGCTTTGTACAACTCTAAAAGGGAGTTGCTAATATTTTAGCTTCCCTGCAGCAGCTGCTCTTTAGGTTTTGTTAAATGTTCTTTAAAAGAGAAGTCTATACTAAAATATAGTTTTTTGTTAGTCCCTGTCTTCATCCAATATCAGTAATTTAAAAAAAAGTTTGAGGCTGTAATTTAATTGTATAATTAAACAAAACAGTATCATATTTTTGTCAGATTTGCCTTATTAGCAGAGAGAAACGGAATTGTTTTTTCTTTCCTTGTTGTCTTCCCAAACTTAAGTATCTTCAGAGGAATTTATAAAACAGCTGTAGTAATTACTTATATGAAAATACAAAATACTTAATTTCTATGGCATTACAATGCTAGAGCTGCCATCTAGTGTTGGCAAGTGACAACTACACTGAGGAACAGGGCAGCAGAATTTTATTTAGTAATTCGTGGATTCATCGGAAAGCTTAAAACTGCTGCTACCTATCGAAAGAAGCTATCATTAAGAATCATTTTTTGTTGTTGTTTGATTTTTGTTTTAAAGCAAGCCAGAGCTATTAATACCTACTCATTAAGACGTGTTATCTTCCCCATTAGAACTAGCTGGTCTTCAACCAGACTATGACCATAAGATCACTTAAAACAATCCAGTAGAATTTATTTGATGCTACATGTTAGCAAACATCTTGCTCCTGTTGACTACCTCCTGAACAACGTTACCTAATAAACCCATTCCTCCTATTTTCTAAAATGTTATTGATTTATTTATTAACCCTGAAGAGTCAAACTTCCCTTTGAACTGAATTCAGAGTGCACTTTTAAGGGTGGTAAGTTTTGGCAGACGAAAATAATAGGCAATTAACACAACTTCTATGTAACCAGGGAAGATGCTCTTCTGAGAGCAGTAAGGATATTATGGACTCCTTCCTGAAATAATCATACTAATTTCAGAAGAAAGGATGAGGAAGATGATTTTTCTAGTGCAGAGAAGTTCCTCCTGGATGCAGCAACATCACAATGAGAGAAAGCCTGGTATCACCTCTACTTGTGCTAGGTGAAGTAGTATTTCTCATCAGAAAAATATCAAAAAGAGGGAGGCTTTTGAGAATTTAGCCAATGGCATTTTACTTCAATGCAAAATTGACACTGCATTTCTACAACTTCTTATGAACTAGTAAACAGAACCATTTGCCGGAGAAGGTCTTTACAACAGGAGCTACTACATTGGTTAACACCTTAACAACATATTTACTGGTACCTTGGGTCTGTTTTGATAAGGCATAAACAATTCTCCATTATTATACAATATTACAGCTTTTTCAGACAACTTAAGAGTTCTTCCTTATCCATGTGGTATCCACTCTTCTTCCATTCTTCCCTCAACTGCTGTAAAGCTGTTCCAATTTCTTTCCCAGAAGAAACTCCCATTTTTCTTAAATCGTGGCCACTGACAGGAAAGGAGGGAATAGTCCATTGCTGCATTTCTCTTAAAAGATCTTCTTCTCCTTGGTATTTTAGAAGCTCACAGATCCTGGAATTTGTATTAGCTTCCCTAGACTAAAAGAAAATAGGAAGATTCACTATGAAACAGTAGAAAACAGACCTGAGAATTTGTGCTCAGCACTCGGTATTCCCACACCACCTTATGAAGATTAACTGGGCAACGAGTTTGAACTATGAAAGTCAGGGTAGCTTCTGCCTCGTCAGTTTAGAGACCTGCACTAACTTGGAAGCCTGAAGGGATCCTTGGAGACTTCTTGAATTCCAGGTAACAAGTGTAGCCATTTTCCTCAGCCTACAATTGGAGGGGAACAATTACCTTCCTCTGAGGGAGAGACCTTACTGGAGATCGATATCTCTCACCTTCGGTCTCGAGCACTGCAATAAAAGCGCAGAACTTCACTTAAAAACCACTTGAGCTCTGCCCTGGCAGAGCGTTGCAGTTGCCTACGAGCAGTTTTCACAGCCAGCACACACGGCTGCACCGGAGACTGCGCCGCTTCCTCTGTGCTCTTCGAGGCCTGAGATTCCACATAAAGAGCCGCAGTCTCTAGTGAACTAGCTGCTGCCTCAGCCTCATGTTTTCATGCAGGAGCTGGGACACCACAGCAAACTCTCTATCCCAAGGTATGTTTTCAGGAAACTTCAATTTCAGAAGATTGAGTTCAGCCTAACTGAAGGAAAAGTAGGCTTTCAAATCCAGTCAGAAAGTTGCTCTGGAATGCAAGGTTCTCAGAACTGCATAGGTTTTACACTGAAAAAGCAAGCCGCAGCATGTGTAATGATACTGTTATTTTTTGGCCCTTTCTTCAAAGTAAAGCAAAATTAAGATCCATTACAAACGTAGTTAGCTGGAACTGGTACCATTAATACAGAATGATGTTCCAGTTCCTATAACAACACTACACTGGGAGCAACTCAACCTTGGCTAATACTTGTCAACAACACTTTACAGCCTTCTGATAAAAATATCATGGTCTTTAGAGATCATGGGTACAACACAAACACATGGGTGCACCCATAAACAAGCCTGCTAATGAAACATCTCTTGAAGGCTCTTTCCTGCCACTAGACATTTTCTTTGGTAATCTGTAAAAGTGCACATTCTTGGTTTACTGTGAGGAACATAGCACAGTGATATGAAATACACTCACATCCATTATGAAGTCCTGATACGGCTTAAGTGGTTCCGGACCCACAGCTTTGGTTAAGTCTTGCCGGTGCTTCACTAGAAAAAGGCCATGGTTCTTCTCCTCTTTTGAGATTTTCAGTCTCAAATCAAGATTGAGGATATCATCCTTTGTCTTTAGCAGTGATGTCAGAACTGTCATTGGTTTTGGACACAGATTTTGAACATTTTTCGCAACTCTGTCAAATTCCTCTAAATTGCCATTAAGTGGTAGGCCTAAACACACAAACATTAAAAACAAAAACACAGCATTACTAATAAGCACAGAAGTTAACAAAAGAAATAACTATTTTATTTACTGGGTGAAAACAGACAAGCTTTTATCTTAGCTTGCAATGCTGTAGTTCTGTTTGATTTCCTACTCTTTGTTTCATATATAATCTTCATTTCACTTTACCTATATATTGGGCAACATCAAGCTCATATATAAGTCGAACCAAATGATTTACATGGTTTCCAAGAAGAATTTTCTTCAGTTCCACCCAAATTCTTTCTCCTGATATTCCAGCTAAACCTTTCGCATTTTCTTTAATTGCTTGCAGCGTGCTGGATTCATGATCACCAGGTTTTTCTGCAATTCTTCCATAAAACCTGCCCAAATAAATGCTTTATGTTACTGTTCAGAACAATTATTGCACCTATTGCTGCTTTCCAGAGGGTGACTATTCAGGACAGTGTTAAATGTCCTCAGTTAAAATACTAGTGGAAATTTTAAAATATATGAGAAAAGGTCTGTGGCAGAGGAAAAAAAAGCTTTTTTTAAAAAAACAAGAAATAATACAGATGTAGCATTTGTAAAATCTCTTTGGACGCTTCTGAAAATTAAGTACCAAAATGCTTTTTCAGCAACTAAATATTTTGAAGCATAACACACTATTTCACCTTTCAATAACTATACAATGTTCTTGTCTTCCGACAAGAAAAAGTCAAGTAACGCATGTTTTCAGCATATTCCTGAGGAAAAAGCATTATCTGAATTTCAATTCTATCATCTCTATGAAAGTACTTTCCTGTCCAATCTTTACCTAGAAAAGGCAAAGCCTAGTACCTGAAATATCTTAGGATTCGTAAATAGTCTTCCTGTATTCTCTCACTTGCCTGTCCTACGAATCTAATTTTTTTGTTTTTTAAGTCTTCATATCCATTAAAAAAATCATACAGCATTCCATCCAAACCTAGAAAAAGAAAAAAGAAAACCAGATTAATATAAACTTACATGTCTATATAAGATATTTGAAGGTTAGTTAATAGCAAGCCAAACGAACATGTCTCACAAAATTCAATGCAAGGCCTGGATCTAATTTGTCAGATCTTCCCTCATACCTGTACAGACCTTTCAACAGACAGCAATAAAAAAGAAAATAAAGTGGAAACGGACTGAGATAATCTATTGGCCGAACTTGAAAAATAGTGCTTCATATAAAATTTATTTTTGAAATCATTTACCTAAAAACATGGAATTGACAGTGAGATCTCTCCTTTTCGCATCCTTTTCCCAGTCAGTGGTGAATTCAACCTCTGCATGTCGTCCATCGGTGACAACATCTATTCTAAGAGTAGTTATTTCAAAATTCTGTTCATGGAGCTGCAAATTCCACAGATAGTTATTACAACAAAATAATCAACATACATGAAAATCAACACAGGATTGAAAGAATACCTAATTTTTACATTTATAGGACTTGAACATTAATTATGTGTTTATTTTCACACAGCACAAAAAAATCAAGAATATCATTACCTGAAAATATTTTTTGCATTATTAATATTCTAGAAAGTCTGCAGAAGTCTTCCTTCAGATGATGGAATAAGAGGCAAAACAGAGGAATCAAGACATGGGAATTCAGGAGTAAGAACAGGAAACACTACGATCAACTTCCCCACTTTACATGAAGATAGAAGCACCCTATATTACCTTTTCTAACAAGGTTAAGCAGCATAAAAAGGCCATACAGAGGTATGCTGCGTCTTTGAACTATACAAACAACAAAGTAATCGGAAAGCATGATACACTTTAAAAGAAGGTCTTGTTTAAACTGCTGGTGTGATTTTTTGAGGAAGAACAAGCATGTGACCAGTTTTTTAGGGGGTGTACCCTGTGTTCACAGCCACATGGAGCAATCGGACAGACAAGATCCCAGTCAAACCATAGACCAACCCGAGCAGTAATGGTTCCGTGTTTCTCTCCTTTATTATTTATCAGACGAACACCTGCAGACGTGAACATCTCCTTCATCTCTGCTGGTGTGGCAGTAGTGGCAAAATCCACATCTTCTGGTTTTATCCCGCTAAGCAAATCCCTCACGGCACCTCCCGCAATCCTCAGCTCATAGTTCTTCTTCTCAAACAGTTCTGTGAAGGAAAGGAAATTCATAAAACACCTTCTGAAATCAAAACATGGCAGAATATGCTGTCGACCATAACAGGTTAAGTTCATACAGGTCCTATACATATCATGGTATGCAGTAAGTGGAAAAATGTAGGTGTCTCAGAGCTTCATGGACACAGACCTGGTCCACATCTCCCAAAGGAAAACTGTTTCTCCGACACTAATTCACCTTCCCGATAGCAAAAAATGTGTATGTTTAGGGTAACTGGGCACTGGGCGGCTGGGGTAGTGGAGCATTCCCAGGAGCTAGCAACACGCCAAGGAGTTTACTGGTGCCAGGCCGCGTTTGTGCTGACAGCATCAGAAAACAAACGAACAAAAACCCTGTAAACTTAATTTACGGGGGAGCAGAGGTTTAACACAGAGAGAGACCCACCATTTTTAGGTCACTACTTTAAGGCAACAGGGAGTAAAACC